TGTGTTTAAGCTGTTCAATATACAGGAAGAACTATGACTTCTTATAGTAGATATATTGAACCAGAAGCTTACTAATATGCATAATTATATTAATCTCATTAATTGTCCATTAACGTCTGTTACATGAACTGTTCTCCCTTAGATTATATAATTCCTTGCTTATTTAACATTTGAAGTATTAAATAGGAACAACCTCAGAATTACTTGATATTTTTCCTGCCACTTTTTATCAGACCTCAATTCTTTCAGCCAGCTCTGTAAATCAAAATTAATCTGGTGAAGTACTGAAAAATTTGGCACGGTGTCAAGAGATGAAAATTTCAACACATTATATGAAAACAAGTCAGGTTGTTCATCAGTCTCCCACACAAGCCTTGAGAGAGTCTCTCGCTGCTTGCATTTTCTTTTTTAATGGTTCTGTCTTCCAAGGGAGGGAATGAAGCCTTTCCCTGCATCACAAGAACCATGTGCAAATAGACGTAAGAAGTTCAATACTTTTTATAATTCTGGGAATAGCTAAATGCATCAATAAAATACTTCATGCCTCCTGCAATCCTTTGATGACTGAATTAGCTAAATGAGATTGGAATGAGGAGTGATTTATAATGGGCTGTAATGAGAAATGAGTTGAACTGCCTTTCAAACAATTAGACAGGGAATAGATTAGTTTTAGCAGTGTAGTGATTTAAAAGAATGGGGAAGATAAAACATCCCCCTTTGATCTCAGTGAGAGCAACGTTTCTTTAGACATGATCAGATCTCAACAAATATGCAGCAAAAGGTTCATATAATGGTGCTCTTTTTTAGGGCTAGTTCAAACTAATTTACTGAGGTTTGTATTAGAAGTCTCATTTCCCACTGGTACACAGCCTGTGAAATAGGAAACTCCCTAGATTGTCAGAGAATAATGACAAATTATTGTAAACCTGAGTTTATATTAAAGGAATAAAAGGTACCCCTTAACTTTCATGGGAATCACTGTAGATCAGAGCTATTTTCTCCATGAACTCTATAAAAGACAAATATTTTTATTCAGATGTCATGCTAACTTATGGCCTTAACATCGTGTACTTATTCTGTACCCCAATCCAGCAGAGCTGGAAACACGCACCCAGCTTTCTCATTGAGAATCATCTCGTTCAAGTTAAACTACTTCTGGCAATAAGGTCAACCCAATCAGCACCTGAGCTTATTTGGGAAGGGAGATGATGGGCCAGACCCACAGAGGAGGCAGGCACAGTTGAGCCGAGCCCTGACCAAACCAGGTACAGCTCAGGTATTCAAATGACACTCATTTCACCTCCTGAAATGGGAATGCTGCAGACATTTCTGCCTACATGCAGGTCCCTGACCATGATTAGATTAAGTAGCTGGAGAACTGACAGCTTAACTTATTTGTTACTACTGGTTCACTTACATTTCACACAAAAAACTCCAGAGTGGCTGTCCACTAATGGCAAATCATCTGCCCCTTTCTACAGCCCAGGGTTACTATTTTCCACCTCTGAGCTGCTGGCACGGCTGCGGTGTAGGATGCGTCAGGGATGCTTTCACAGCTGTACACAGGACAGTCACTACTGTGAGCTCTGTTTACAGGATCACTGCCTCCGACTTCTCCCATGACAGCTGACAGAAAGACCCTTCTCGCACCACTGAGAAGTGAGCATCGATCTGACGCCCTCGACAGGCTGCAAAAACATTGATAGTGCATTTAGCTACAGTGCCCCAAATCTCTGCAACTGAGAGTTCAGGCCCTCTAATTATTTTCTCGCATTATATTGTCTCATTCTGCTACATATATTAATTGGCTGTTTTGGTTTGCTATTTAGCAGCCAGCTTCCTTTTAAGCTAAAGCTTATTCCTTGTAACTGTGCGTTTCCATAGCTTCTGCTCTGCCAAAAGGTTAAACAGTCCTCATTATCCATTTCCTGCAGAGACCTAATTTCTACAGAAGAGCCTGAGCAGGGCGATAGGACTGGCAAAAAACAGAGTAAGGCCACAAGAAGCTGTTTTCACACTGGCAAACACCAAGAGGCACAGAGACCATTTGAAATGATGCTCCACACGGATCTCAGCAGCTGGGCAGAACATTCAGTCTCTTCTGGTTTTTTGTTATTCTCACATCTGCCCCTTTCAGCACAGCATCCTCAAATGGAAACCCCCAATGTGCCAACACATTAAGCAGCTCAAGATAAAAGTACAAGTCAAACTTTGTCTCTGTTTCTCCTGAATTGTTATAAGTTGTCCAGCACCATCTATTACATGGCAAGGTAGCCCCTGCTGTAGTCCTGACAGCAGAGCACAGTTTAGAAGAAGCCATCTCCCCATCTCTTACCTCATGTCCTGGGTAAGTCTCCTAGGCAGTCTTGGTTTGCTCCATTTAGAGGAAATCCACAGCTACTACCTGGGGGTGCCATGTGTCCTTCACAGGCACAGGGTATTTGGCTCACCACAGCTGAGCAACTTGGGGAAACAAGATGCCTATGCATAGCCCCAGTCCCCTTCAATGTCAGTGTGTATAAGAGGAAGCAAGCAGGAAGCTTTTGAGGAAGACATGCAATTTCTGGAGTAGAGGGCTTGGGCATCTCCCTTTCAGAAGGGGGTTCAAGGCACATACTCTTAAGCTGGGAGCCATTGACTAAGGTCATAATCACAGAATGGTTTGGGTTGGAAGGGACCTTAAAGCTCATCCAGTCCACCCCCCCTGCCATGGGCAGGGACACCTCCCACCAGACCAGGTGACTCAAAGCCCTGTCCAACTTGGCCGTGGACACTTCCAGGGAGGTCTTTGCAAGCTGGTATGATCTGATCAAAAGACGTGTTCTGTCCTTCAACTTTCTGTATTGATTAGCTGTACTAGGTCTATGGTTAGTACCCTAGAGATGTCTGTCTGTCTTTGAAACACCAATTCTTCTGATTGAAGAAGTTTTGGCTCAAGCTCTGACAACAGACTGCTCTGCCTTTGGTTAATCTAGCTCAAAAGCCCTGGTGCCCATGCAGGATGCAAAGGACAGAGGGAGCCTGTGCTTGAGGCACTGAGACAATCTGAGGAGTCTTCATCCCTAGATGTTTCCAAGACCCCACAGGACAGACACCTCAGCAAATCCATATGCAGTGGTCAACCTGCTTTGAGCTCCTCTCCTGCTGTAGTCTATGAATCATCAATGATCCAGAAGACAGTGAAAGGGCAGCTGCAACGTTATTGCCACTCTGACTGTACAGAGGCCCAGAACTGGGAGAGAATAAAAGAGGGAACAACAGAAGTAAAAAAAGTACCAAAGTGTTGCCTACTTTCAAGATTAGATTTCAAATTGACATTGTCACACCAGCAATACAAGAGGGATTGCAGATTCAATCTCCCCTTCCTAGAGGGTGTGATAAACTTCACATCAAAACTAAGTTGAGAAGAGTAAGGCAGCTGTGTCTGCACCAGCAATCCAGACAGCTTAACAGCAGCAGATCTGGAGGGAGACATCCACTCTACACAGATACCAGAGGGGCTTATTTCAGGCTAGCTTTGGCCTAGGTCTTCGGACCGAATTCCCCTTTGGTAGCAGCTCCTCTAGACAATTTCCTCCAAAAGGAACCCCGTCCATGTGCTCAGAAGTCACTCCAAAGCACAGTTCAACAAGGACAAGCAAAAGCAGCAAAATAAGCAGGCTTCTATGGGAAGAAAGACAAACATTTCTCTTCCCAGATTGTAAGAATATGTAGTCAAGTACAGAAAAGCATCAGATCTGGCAGCATTTTGGATAGCCAGTGTCAAAAGAAGAGTGGTGGTATGTACCACACCACCACCACCACCACCACACACACAAACAGAAAGACTTAGGCAACACTCAAAATCACCATTTAGATCTCAAAGAGGAAGCTCTCCATCAGGCTTTTACAACTTCACCTGAAGTTTAAGGAGCGGTTATTTGTTGTTTGAACTATACACTGATTTGACTGGGGAGACAGAATGCAAGAAACATGCTTAAAAGTTGCTACGAACTAATACAAAACCAAAGAAAAATACTGCTGCTTATTGAGTGTTGCATTTGGTACCACCCACCCACAGAATCCATCAGCAATATCATAAAATGTCCTTGGGGCAGCCTTGTTAGCAAAAGCTCTTGAAGCTTGTTAGCCCAAGAGCAGACAAATTGGAAGTGTAGGTGGACTTTAAATCCAACCCAAAATAAGCAAGCAGCTCCAAATGTCAGCAGATCTATAATGAAGGTGGTATTTCAGCTCCTTCTCTTCTAAGGCTCCAATTATTATTACTGTGCCTAGAAGATGGAAGGCTTTAATACAGAAAATCAGGTCTTCAAATATTTTCCTTCCCATTGGGCAATAGCACTACTGTAGTAATGTAGCAGACTCCTGATTTTGTGGAAGAAGCCAGCAATTCCACACGTGAGCATCATCATCTTGATTTTTCTTTCCCAATTAGAAGACAAGCTGGTGCAGGAAGCTCAGCCCTTTCCAAAGGCAAAATACTACTGCTAAATGAAAGGGGGCTCTGGATTCAGCAGGTCCCAGGAGATGCTGGCCATCACCAAGGCCTCTCTCAAGACATCTGGGGTTGCATCTGACAGCCTTATGCTGACCCCCCTGCCAATGCACCTCTGCAAAGGACCACACATCACCCTCAGTGACAACCACATCATGGGTCACCTCCCCTAGGTTTCCATGCAGTCCAACCTGTCCAATGTCTACGCATGATGAGCCAAGAGAAAGCCCAACCATTTGCTATAGAAAATTGTTTAAGACCAGCTATTTACATTTGATTTACACAAGTTAAGCTCATAAAAAACAGTGCACTTAAGGTCACTTCCTATTTCAGATTTCTTACAGAAGTCAGCAATTTACTAAGAAAATAATAACAAGAAACCTCTGTTCCTACTGATGTTTATATTTTAAAACTTTGAGTAACATTTACTCAGGCTTCAGAATATAAAAGGGATTTCACGATCTTAAGTGAAGCTGCAATAAGGTTGTTTGTTTTGGTTTTTTATAAAAAAAACTTTTTTAGTTTCTAGAAGTTTCCAGATAAATGGCTGTCTTGAAACACCACCCTTCTGGGGCTCAACAACATCTTGATGAGAGTCTCCAGTGCTCCAGGTGGGAACACCAGCTGCAAGCGCGCTGTATCAATCCTGACGCAGGAGTTAGTCATCCTCTGAGTCACTCTCACCCCTGGCTGGGACGCACGCCCTGATGGAGGACATGAGCTGGTCCTGGATCTGTTTCCTGGGGTTCTCCTCAAGGTCGGTCTTGATGGCACCCGACTCTGAAATTTTCCACTCCAGTTCTGTGCAGAGCAAAACAAGAGAGCCATGAAAGCAGGGGAGAAAACTGGAAAAAGCCCACCCTTGCTTCCCCAGCTGACTTCTCTTATCACCCTGCCATCACCACCACTGAAACCAGGGCCCTGCTCTATTGCTCCCCCTCCTCTTCCACTCTCAGGTCCCAGCCCCTGCGGTGTCTCCTGCAGCTGCTCCAGTCAAGCCCTCCCTTCAGTCACTAACGCTGGTGTGGGTTTCAGCACATTTCAGAGCTCAGGGTACTGCTCTGCACCCCACCAGTGGCATCTCTGCTTCCTCTACAACTGGGCACGTAAAAGAGGCGACCGATACAGAGCAGCAGCTCTGCTTACTTTGTTACAGCTGTTTGCATCATGTACCAAGTTAATCACAGTCAGAAGAGGCAGGGAATAGATTTACTGAGGGGCAAAAGTAAAAACAGTAGCAATCCCATTCACACATCTGAATTACAGGTATTTTTCAGGGATGTACTTTATAAATGCAATTCACCCCTTTCCCACTATTCCATGCACTGATTATTAGTTCCTTAGCAAGACAGTGAGACTCCACCATCAGTAGTAGGCCTACAGAGACACAAATTGGATTGCTTCTTAGAAGCAGTAGACAGTCAGTAAAACACATTCAGCTGAAACCTTTCTCCTAGTCCTGCTGGCAACCCTATCACTAAATCTCCTGTTCCTTCAGACATTACAGAGTAATGAATACAATCTCACACTTTCTTTAATCTCCAGTAGAAGTCACCTAGGCTTAGGGGAGAAGGAAGAAATAAAAGGAAGTGCAGAATTTCAGTGCCCACCTTTCTGAGATGACTGAATTAAGCTGGCTCAGTCACCTTTGGACTTTCTCCAAAAATCAGTCATATGCTAAAATAGCAGAAAGCTAACAATTCTGCTAGCAGCTTCATTGGTAAGCTTTCCTCCTTCTGACAGTTCAAGGCAGGAGAATATTTTCTACAGTACACACCTAAGATATCCTGTAATCTTCAGATTTTTAGTAAAAAACCAACAAAACAAAACAAGCCTCTTTGCATCCTATCCCAGTATAGGCAGTGACATCATTCAACAGAGACACTGAAATACTGCTTTATGTGGTTCAGTTCAGGCAAAGATGTCCTTAAAGTCTGAATTTGAAGGCCTTTGGACCAATATGCCTACTCAGAAGGCTGATGAGTATCCTTTTAAGGGAACAGAGACATTGAAATACTGCTTTATGTGGTTCACTTCAGGCAAAGATGTCCTTAAAAGTCTGAATTTGAAGGCCTTTGGACCAATATGCCTACTCAGAAGGCTGATGAGTATCCTTTTAAGGGAACTAAAATCCACTAAGTTACATCTGAGTTGCTCTTGTTTTCCAGTGAGAGCCTTTTTCACTACTGACCTGTCTTCAAGCACTGCAGCAGGACACCAACCCCGACCAACCACATCCACACAGCAGCTTTTACTGAAGAGGCACAGTGCTCTGCATGACCTGCATCACCACCCTCATCTCCCAAAACACATCATGCTGAGGCTGCACGACACCCAGCCTGCTAAGATGGGCAAAAAGAAAGAGTCTATGTAAAACTGCAGCCTCCAGGGAAGGTAACAGCTTCTCCTCATGGAGTCCTGTGCCCCCTGAACCACTGAGGCTGGGGCTTAACTTGCTGCCATCTCCAGCAGATGACAAGAGGAAAAGGAAGGAGCCAAATTTCAGGCTCACAGCCCCATTTGGACACACAGACAGGCTCTCTTTAAAGGTTAATGAGGAATGGAACCTGTGCATCAGGAAGGTACCACGGGCAAATATATGCCATCAACTTGAAAACGAAACAAGCAGCCCTACAGTGCAATAGGCAAGCACCAGTTATCAAGTGTGTGGATTATCAAGTAGCTGGGGGCAAGGTCAGCCATTCTAGAAAAAAAAAACCAAACAGAAAATGTGTGGGTACTATATGTCCTTTTAATGTACTAGGGAAAGTTTGTTTCCCAACACACAGGGTCTGAATACTTGTGCACACATAAAATAAGAGTCTATATGTTGGCCTACTTGGCCACTCACTGCTCCTACAAGGTGCCTCAAGCACAGGTTGTTGAGGCATAAGGCTGGAAGAAAAAAAAGTAAAGATTCTAATAAAACTGTAGTACATCCTTTCTCTTCCTAACCCTCACTTCTCTCATTCCCAAAAAAGCAGTTCTGCTTTTTCCTTGCAAGACTGAAGATGTAGACACTCACCATCCCTTGTCAAGTTCATGCCACCGAACACCAAAGGTCCAATGAACTGAGCTTTGATGTCCCCCTCCAGGTAGACGAATATCGTAGGCAGGTTCTTATCGGGGTAGTTGGGAATGCAGGTGGTAGAGATAGCTTTGATGAATTTCACCTCTCTGAACTTCCTAGCAAGCCCACTCATGTGTTGGTTTATTAAGGCACAGAGAGGAATTCTGTAAAGAATGGCGACAGGCACACATAGGAAAACATAAAAGACAAATTAGACAGTAATCTGCTCCAGAAGAAAGGTCAGAAATATCAACTCAATCACTAGCATCTATGGGAAGACAAATGTACCAGAAGCAACTTCAGAATAGTTTTGTCATCCAGTATTCCAACATTCAAAGGAAATCAGCATCACTGGAGGTTTGGGTAGGTGTTTTTATGGTTGGATTTTTAGGGTTCTTTCTTTTGGGGGGGTGGGGGTGAGGCAGGGTGTTTGCAATGCAACCTTCCCCTCTATTATACAGAGGCAATTAGTTTATGAAGATATGATATTTAGAAATTGCAGGACCAAGGGCAAAATAGAAAGAAAAGCAGCTGCTGAAAGAAAGTACACAAATTACAATGAATACCTGTGAGGCAATTAGAAACAATGACCTAAACCAAGTATTTCTAACCCTCTCCAAAAAACTCTAGCAATTTATCAGACCGTTTAGTCAAATTTTTCTGTCATACTGACAAGACCAGAAACCTTGCTCACTTCATTTTTATGCATCCAAGCACAAAACCAAGATGCAGACATTTAGTGATCCTTCTAATGCACAGCCCCTCGTGCTTTATCCAGGAGAATTTCAAAAGCCCAGTATTTCAGTGGCAGCAGCTACCTCTATGGTAGCTGTATGGTACAAGTCACACTGTGCTGTATAGGTGTATTAAAAAAAAATCAACCCCCAAAACAAAGAAACTACCACTTCACAGTAGCATTGTTTTAGAGCTAAATTCAGCAGTCTTGAGTCAACAGTAATGAAACTACTACTGCAATTTTATATTTCTTATAACTCCAGAATCAGTTTCTTAATTTCTACCAGAACTATACATTTGTCGAGAGTATTTTCACAGCTACTGACAGTGAAAGATTTAAGGTTAAGACCAAATTCTTACCCTTGTTTGTAAAGGTGCAGGATTACCCATATACCTTTTCCAGCTTTTGTAACCTCTTGCACATAATCTTTTCCAGAAATCTCTAAAACTTCCCCAAATTTATTCTTCATTTGAGCTGCTTTCATTTCTGCTATCCTTTGCTGCCTGCAGAGCAAGGAATGGGAAAAGAGATCTTGAGAATAGATGCATTTTTGACAGAACAACAATTAAATGAGCTGATGACCTAATCAAAAGATGCTCTTATATTTTCATCACAAGTTAAAACCACCAATTTGAAAGAAGTACAACTGTGTTTCATTATTTTTTCTCCTCATTTCTGCCCTCAGCAGACGTTTCTTCCACAGATACTAGACTGCCAAACTAAATGGCAAAAAAACCCCATGAGATATGGTAGAGATAAAGAGATAATGCACCACTAATTATGTAAATCTGCAGCACCTTAATCGCACTCATGCAAAACCTGAGAAATCTTGGAGGTAATTTTCAAAGCTCTCGGCATCCCCAGCCATGCACTTCACAGGTGCACATAATCTCTGCAAAACTAGGTTGTAGACAAAGGACGCTGCATTTAAACCCAGTTATTTTACTAAAGACATTTAGAAGCGCCAAAAGAGACCAGAAACACAACCCACTTTTTCTATCATCAAGCCTAAAAACATCCTTCCTCTCTTCAACACTATCTAACAGAAAAAGAAAACAGAAAATTTTCACAATAAAAAAGAAAAACCCTCCAGTTTTCATTAAAGCCAAGTTCTGCACGTGGCTCTGACCTGTACATTTCAATAGCTTTCTCATCTTCCTCGTTAAATTCATCTTCATTCTCTTCTAGCTCTTCCAGAGTCATGTCCTCATAAGTTTTCACTAGAATGGAAGAAACATCAAATCAGCAAAAACTGCATTCCAGGACTAAAACTCACCAGCCTTTATCAGTCCAACAGAACTTATTTACTTTAGGGACAGATTAACTATGGGAAATACAGCTTTTTTAAAGTGTCACTGTTACTGGATTTTTAGAAAAACATTATGCACTTTGGAAACAGAATCACAGAATGGTTTGGGCTGGAAGGGACCTTAAAGATCATCTGGTCCAACCCCCCTGCCATGGGCAGGGACACCTCCCACCAGACCAGGTGGCTCAAAGCCCTGTCCAACCTGACCTTGAACACTTCCAGGGAGGGGGCATCCACAGCTTCCCTGGGTAACCTGCGCCAGTGTCTCACCACCCTCACAGTAAAGAATTTCTTCCTAATATCTGGTCTAAATCTACCCTCTTCCAGTTTAAAACCATTTCCTCTCATCCTATCACTACCTGCCCTTGTAAAAAGTCCCTCTCCTTTCCCGTAGGCCTCCTTCAGGTACTGGAAGATGGCAACAACGTCTCCCCGGAGCCTTCTCTTCTCCAGGCTGAACAACCCCACCTCTCTCAGCCTGTCCCCATAGGAGAGGTCCTACAGCCCTCTGGTTTTCTTTGTGGCCCTCCTCTGGAGGACAATACAGATGGGAGGACAGTGATGTAAAGGACTCGGAGCTGAAGGCTGCCTATGGCAATGACACTAAGAACAAAGCTTTCCTGTGCTGGAAGAACCTGCACCTTCAGGAATGCATTTGTTCGATGTTGTTAACAGAAGATCACTCTATATGAGAAGCACCTTTGGCATCCCTTACAGACTTCAGAAAGGACACATTGCTTTACAGGCATACAAACATTACAGCTGGCAAATTCTTTGTACAAGCTTCCCCCAGGAGCCAATCCAAGCCTTGTCCTGCTGCTGCTGCCCGAGTTGGCCTGGTTGCTCACCGAGAGACTTCTGAAGGATGGCAAGCTGCTCCTCTTCCTTTTGGCGCTCCTGTTCCTCCAGGTTTTCCTTTGGAGGAAGGATACCTTTCTTGCGCAGGATGTCATTCCACTCTGTATCTTTGTCTGGGTCCTAGAACAGAACAAGAAATAAATGATGTGCATTCAAGGAGAACTTTGCTATTTCAAAGAAGGTCACACAGGCAAGTTTTTCAAGAGATACAGCACACTGCTAAAGTGGTAAGTGTCTGGATGGCACCAGAAAGTCACAGTGTGCACCCCTCTGATGTTCAGGTGTCTTTGCAGCCCCAGTGATTTTATTTTATTCCCTCCCTCTTGGCAAGGCACGAAAGTTTGAAGTGTTGCAACGATCACTGCAGCTCTCACCAAGTGAAAGGAAAGACGAGGAAAGCCACAGGGGGACAGGACAGCACACTGGCCACAGCACGTACATACAGAGCCTCAACAGAATAACCGGCCACCAAATGAGCGGTCACTGCGTTGGGAACCGCTGGTGAGAAGACACACAGACACCAGCTCTGCAGACCTAATTCTGGATATATGGGAGTCTCCCTGCTAGAGTCAAGTCAGTGTGGCTACACAAGTACTCAGAGTGAAGCAAGCACAGGTTCTGCCAGACACGCACACCGCTTGGGAACTGGATCTAAATCTGTGCATAGGCTGGTCCTAGAAGTTAAAAAAACCCAACAAATGAAAACCACACAAAACCACCACACTTTGAAATAGTTGTAATACTCCTGAAAAAGGCAGCTAACATGTATTATTCAGAACCTCAGTAAAAGTTTTGCCAAGTTCAACAGTGATTTTATTTTTTGAAATATCTGAAAATTCAGTGCTAAGCACTCACAGGCTGGTTTTGGGTCCTTACTGTCTCTAACTAAGTTCACTCTGAAAACTGAATGCAATGTGGCTTGTACCAATATACCTTACATTAGGCCTGTTCAAGACCATATACCAAATCTAAAAAAAAAAAAAAAAGTAACAAACAGTAGGCTAGATTTTTCTTCTTTTTCGACTGTGGTCACTTTTTTCTCTCCTCTACACAGCATTTCACAACATCCACTGCCACTTACCAACATACTGATGAAGTGCTTAAAACACCCACCCACTCATCTGTATACTATGGCAGCAAAATAAATATGGCACTTGGAAAAAAAACCCAACAAACTAAATCACAGAATCACAGAATATTAGGAGTTGGAAAGGATCTTGAAAGATCATTCAGTCCAACCCCCCTGCCAGAGCAGGATCACCTAGACCAGGTCACACAGGAATGCATCCAGGCAGGTTTTGAATGTCTCCAGAGAAGGAGACTCCACAACCTCTCTGGGCAGCCTGGTCCAGTGCTCTGTAACCCTTACAGTAAAAAAGTTTTTCCTCATGTTCGCATGGAACCTCCTATGCTCCAGCTTGCTCCCATTGCCTCTTGTCCTGTCACTGGCTGTCACTGAGAAGAGCCTGGCTCCTTCCTCCTGACACTCACTCTTTACAAATTTATAAGCATTAATGAGGTCACCCCTCAGTCTCCTCTTCTCCAAGCTAAAGAGACCCAGCTCCCTCAGCCGCTTCTCACAAGGGAGATGCTCCACTCCCTCCATCATCTTTGTGGCTCTGCACTGGACTCTTTCAAGTAGTTCCCACAAGCAAGTTTTTCCTTATGTTCAGATTGAACCTCCTATGCTCCAGCTTGCTCCCATTGCCCCTTATCCTCTCATTTGACATCAGAGAGGAGAGCCTGGCTCCTTACTCCTGACACCCTTCACAGATTTAGAAATCCAAGAGCCAACAACCACAAAACCAAGCCAGGGAGCTTAATAACAATGAAAGAGACCCCTGCCCGCAGAGAGGGGGGTAAAAACGAGCCGCCGCCCTCC